GACTTGTTTATGGTGAATCATCTTGAGAGCCTTAAAAATATTTAGTTTCTGGTATATATGCACAACATATATATGCATAAATACACAATCATAAATATGTAGTATAGTTTTTGATGACAAAGACATGTAAAGGTTGATGTTTGCCAGATTTTCTTTTATTCATTTTTTTGTAAGCCAAATGCTTCAATGAAGGCTGTGCAATGCACCAACAGATGTTTAGAAAGCACCTTCCAGTCTCACATATCAAGTCTGCTGGCTTTTAGCCCATGTATCTGTCTGGATTGGTGCATTATTTAATGCAAGGAAGAACAACTTAACTGTAATGTGGAAGTTATATATGGTGTTGTCAATTTTCAGCTCTTTTTTGGTTTTGAGACAAATCTCTCTGTGCAATTCAGGCTCACCTTGAACTCACTATGTAGCCCAGGACTGCCTTGAACTTACAGCAATACTCCTGCTCAGCCTCCTAAGTGCTGGGATGACAGGCATGCAACACCATGCCTGGCAGTTTTAAGGCATCTTCTGTTTCTCTATAGATTTTGAAATATTAAAATAGTACAATTCTGTACATTAAAAAAGAAGACATATTGATTTTAAATTTTTGCTTAAGATAAAAATTATGTGAATTTGTTTTCTTGACCTAAAATGTTTTTTAAAATAATTAATGTGGATTTCAGGGAACTTCAATGACAATTTTGTGGAGCCTACATTAAAGAAGCATATATTTAAATGTATTTAGAATTATCTCTATAATATACATTGAACAGAAATCTTAGTTGTTACACATAAAAATTCTTAATTGTTTTATCTCTATTTATTTATTTTGGTACTGAGAATTGAACTCAGGACCTTGCACTTGCCAGGTAGGTGTGGCGCCACTAAGCTAAATCCCCTGCCCTCTTTGATCTCTTTTTAATTCTTTCCCTTTTGTTCCTTTTTCATATGCTCACCAGTCTGCATATCCTAATTTAAGGGATGTCTACCTCAACAGTTTCTACTTTCCCCATAATGGAATAATAAGGAAGAGGAAAACACCTTTTATTAATAAGCACAGGTCCTTCTAATGGTTTCATAACATCCACCAGAATTACACTTTTTTTAATCACAAAGTCTCAGGTATTATCTATTTCTGTGTCTCATTCTCATTTCTATTATAAGACCTTCAGTCTTTTTTTAAAGTATCCCCACTACTCCTTCACCTCCACTAAAGGGATTCCCAACAACTATGGCAGTTCCTGTTATTTTCAATGGCCCTACATAATTGACCTTGGCCATATCACACATGTAACCTTTTTCCTCTCTTCCTCTTCAATGATGCTGCTTATGAAATTCCAGAAAGTTCCGTGCAATTTGCTACAGTTTGCTTCCTGTAAGTGCTACACATGGCTGACAGTCCTCTGAAATCCTTTCATGTCCAGGGACACTGCTGGGTTTCTCCACTCTAGGACTGGTCATTCCCCTCCCCTTCTGCTGTGTTCCTGTTGAAACCTGTCGCCTGTCACAGTGGGTCCTAAGGAGCACTGCCTTGGGGTCTCCAAATAGCTCATAGTTAGACTCCTCCTGGTTTCCTGACCCTTAGAAACTGTGTGAGGTGATAAATGTCTACTGTCTTAGGTTGCTAAGTTTTTGGTAACTTCCTAGGCAATAGAAAATGAATTAATTTCTCGCTATCACTAACTTTGCCTTTTAGTTCCCCTTACACTGACATTACATATTTATATATTTTATTTTTTTAGTGTATGTCTGTGAGAGCAATGACTTTTTTCTTTGGATTGTCTTTGTATCCCCAGCCTGGAAGAATGTTTGGAATGTAATGGGTAGTCAATAAAAAATAAGCAATGAGAGTCAAATATTTTTATGTAAAAGATAAGTGTGTCATTTAAAACCAGTATACATGGAGAACTATTCCGCCATAAAGAACAATAAAATCATGTAGTATCCATGAAAATGGGTGGAACTGGAGATCATAGTGTTTTGTGAAGTAAGGCAGCCTCCAAAAGGCAAAATATTCCATTTTTTGTTATATGTTGAAACTACAAAAAGAAAAGGATGACAGGAAAGTAGGAGGAAATGTAGTAGAGAAGAGGAAGGAATAAGGGAGAGGAGGGAGGAAAGGATAGGGGACGACGGGGTGGAACTTATCATGGTATATCACAGGCAAAGTAAACTCGCCCTTATGAGTGATTGTTGTGCACTAAGAAAAACCAGCACACAATGGCCTAATGTGGCAGCCATTTGTGCTTCTGACGGGCACTTTTGTGGGACATTCGCCTCACTCACCATGGTCTCCCTACCCTCTTGACAGAGTGGCCCTAGGACCATTAACACTTGTCATTGGTAATTGAACACCTGCTCGATGCTAGACCCAGCTGAGCCAGAAAGAAGTTTTCTGGATATTTGGAATTAAAATTAAAAGAGTGAGAAAAAGGAGTCACTGTGTGACTGTCCTTCTATGTCAACCGAGACAGGCTATGTGTCAACACATAGCAGCAAACAAAGTTGCTAACAAAGCTCACTTCTTTCAAGGTATGTGTTCAGCGCAGGGTGGTGAGGAGACGCTAAGCAGCAGCAGCGACACAAGGACGCAGGCTATTGCCACAGACACCATCTTGAATGTCATCATCACCCTGCCAAAGGAAAATGTGAAGTTTCAACAGCTCAGCTTCAAAATGACCCACCATTTTCCCACATGATTCACTGGCCAGAACTTCTTGATACCCCTTCACTTCTCTCTGTCTCCCAGCCACCCAACCATAAGGCCAGTCCAATCCTACCATGGATCTAGAAGGAAGAAAGTAGAAACTATCTGTCATGTAGCCTATGGATCAAATAATGATGAAACAGAGACCCAGGGAGAAGAGAAGGCAAGGGATGGGAGAGAATTTGGCTTCAATTCCAGAGTGTTTTTCAGATCCTGGTTCCATTTGGTACTGAGATCTGGGTACACTCCTGCTTTGGACTGGGAGAGCAAAAGCTCTGAGGGGAGTCACTTAGGCATAGATTTAAACACAGGGAGCACAAAGAGTTTTCCAGGGTCTCACAATCTCGTGCTGAAAACAGAAACATAAATATTCTAATAGAAGAATGCAAATGGTGATACAGGAGTATAAAGAAAGAAGCCGCACTGTGTGCACCTTGGGGCATTAAGGAAAGCATTTGAACCTTGCATCATGTGTTGAAGTTAATGAAAGGGAGAGCGCACAGCAACCTGGATGGAGGGAAAAGTATATGCAAAAGCAATGAATTTATTAGAAAGAGTATAAGCATTCCAGAAATAACAAAGAAGGACATAAAGAACCATTCAGGGGCTGCTTGAAATAGTTTCTCAGTTAGACAGACAGTTGTAGAGCCTGGCTCCGCCAAGTGACCTTAACCAAGTTACTTAATTTCTTTGTGACTCACTTTACACTGTGGTTAAATGGACACATACAGTGTGACCATAAGGTCTGGACAGATACTTATTGTTTTTAAAGACTGAACCTCTGGTTTATTCTCTCTGGCACAGGCTTGTTACTGGACAGAGGGTTCCATGTTCCTTGTTGTCTTGAACAAGGAATTGAACAAGACACAGAGAAAAGGCCATGGAAGTGTACATTTACTGAAGGCAGAAAAGCTGTGCACTCTACAGGGTGGGAGTGGGCTGGTGAACAGGCTCACAGCATCCCCAGAATAAGGGAAAGGGGTTTTTGGTATCCAAAATTCCTGGATTGGCTTCTCCTCCATGCAGACAAGGCACTGGAACAGTTGTCCTATCAAAAACTCACTTAGATGGGTGCCAGACTTAAACTGCACCCATGGAAAGACTCACTTGACTTCCCACCAAATATAAATGAAGAATTGAAAAGAGCACTTTTCTGATTGGTCCTGCAAACAGCACCAAATTCAAATGAAGGATTAAAAATACTGTTTTCTGATTACTTCCATGTACATTACAGTCCTCAGGAGCCTTGGAGTCACTTTTAGTCCTGTGTTCTGCATGTCCTCTGAGTTTTTATGACCTTTGACACATTTCACCCAGTCGCTTGCCCTGTTTGCCACAGCCTTAATCTCCTATCTCAGGACTAAGGAAATCTGAGACACAAATCACTTGAAGCAATACACCACAGACGCCTACGCAAGGCTTGAAAGAAATGCTACATTAGTGAACTATGTTCATGGGAATTTTCCAAATGTTAATAAGGAGGAACAACACCTTAAACATACCATGCAATGTCATTGTGGTGTAATCAGTTGTTTAATGTATTTGCCTCTGTTTCCAGACTCTATGGTGACCTGTTGATCCTGACCTCATTTTCTATGAGGATTAAAAGTAAGTCCTGAAAAGCTCTTAACACAGAGTGGCTTTTTCTAAACTCATTAAACGTTACCTATAGTATTTAGGAGGTAGAACTGATCAAAGAGATGAAGCAATCCGGAGGTACTGGTCAACTTCGGACCACTGGCTGGGCGGTTGTGCCTGTCACGGAATCATCGAATACAAAAGGGGCAAAGCTTCTTTTCTATGTGTGGGGACAATCACTGATGATTTGTTGGTCTATTTGGCTGCTCCTCTCCCTGGCCATAACACTGTCATATTCACTACAGTGCAAGTTTGGTCAGATAAACGCTTACTAGCCACTGTGTCAGAGGTTAATCACCGAGTTTGGCCGTGGTGAGTTCAAAGCATCTCCGGAACCGATGGTCTTGGCCTCATCCTCAAGCGCAGGATACCTGAGGCTGTCAACTGAGAGTCAACTTTCCCATGCGTGTGAGGAAGGGAATGGATGCAGCGCGCGGCGGAGGCAGGGAAAACCCGGCAGAGGAGGGGAAGGTAGGAGTACAACGAAGATGACAGACAAGAAGAGGAGGATAAAATTCAAAGAAAGTGAAGGGAAAACCCCTGTCCCCTCCAGGCGTTCTCTGGGGACCCGGGTCGCTGGCCTCAGGTGGGATCACCAATCTCCCACCATCAGACCCCGCGCTCGCTCGCTTCCGGAAGTGGCGCGGCGCGATGTCGTCATGGGGCGGGACTTCCGGCCGTCGGATCACGACTTCCGGTTTGCGGGGCGCTCGGCGGCTCGGGACGGCGGGAGTCGACCTCCGTGCGGGCGAACAGGTGAGGGGCTGCGCCGTCGGGGTGACTGCCGAGGAAGGACGGGGTCAGCTCGCAGGGCCCGCGTCTTCACGGCCCCTCGCGGATACCAGCCCCTTCCAGACGGCCCGCAGTGCTGAAGTAACGGTGCCTCCTCGGCTCGGCTCGGCGCCGCTGGTCTCGGGAACTGCAGGTGCTGCCGGCCGCATCTGGGCCCCGACCAGGCGCCCGCGGCAGTGTCCCCGGAAGTCTGGGCGCGGCCGGACGCGGCGTTCGGAGTTCCGTGGATTCGTTTCCTCTGCAAGTCCCGCAGTTACTGGACTCCTGCTTGTGACTCTGGCCAAACACCGGGAGAGTTTATATTCCGCCGTGCGAGGTCTCACCCTTTGAGTTCCTTTTTGGTTTTTTTCTGAGGCAGGGTCTTGGTATGCAAGTTCACGCTGACCTTGAACTTTGTGTAGCCCAGGCTGGCTCGAACTCGCAGCGATCCTCCTGCCTCAGCCTCCCAAGTGCAGGGATCACAGGCATCCGCCACCATATCTGCACCCTTTTAGTTTTGAGAACACAACTCTTGGGAAAAGAGTTGTAACAAAAGAGACCCAGAAAATTTAGGAGAATCTCCAATCTTTATTCACAAAGATTTGTTTAAAAGGAAAACACAAAACAAGTACAAGTGTCTGATGTCACTATTGTTGGGTGTTTTCTCATTTTTCCACCTCACCTGAAAGGCCTCAAGGCCTTCTGTGTCCAGTTCTCCTGGCCAAGGCAACAAGCAGAAATGGTTCTAAAATTTCACATTTTAACATTTTGTATTTTTGCCTTCAGACTGAGTAGTTTTATTTTTTTCTGGTTAAAAGATTGATCTCCTTTCAGCTGTTTTCACTTGGAGTGTTGCTACAATATATTTAGGATTAAGTAATTCAGAGTCTTTAAGTGCACTTCAGGCAAAAGGAAATCAACATACTCTTTTTAAAGAGTGTTTAATACACAATAGACAACTTTGTGTAACTTGTGAAATGCTTGGCTTTGATGTCCTGAGGCTAAAAGCTGCGTCCTGGCACATTAAATACTTTTTTTTTTTTTGGTTTGGAAGTGCATTAAAATGTGATGCAATAATTGATTCCTTAAAGGCAGCAAAGGAGTTAAGGGTAAAGTTGTATTTTTCAAGTAAATTAATTTAGCAAGTTCATCATGATTGTAATGTGTGCTCTATTTTTTCTATTTCCTCAGCAGTAGTGATGAACTTTATATTCATCATGTATGTGAGCTTGATTTTCTCACCCAGTTCCACAGGCTGAGAAGAATCTCATGGGTTAGTTTGCATTCATAAAGCAGCATTAGGTGAAATGTAAAACTTGTAAAGAATTCTAAAAGTTAGGAAATTGTTGGTCTGTCAATTTACGCAGTAGAAGCTTAGAAGATTGTACATAATCTCAGTGTAACATACATCACACATGTACTTGGAATTTCTCCAACGTTATGCAATTTTTAAAGTTCAATTCTAATAAAATTTCTAAGTACTGTAATAGGTGAAGGGGAAATAATGGAATAGGAATCTGAAGACTATAGAATTGGGTTTTTTTCCATTTAAAGTCTATGACTTTGAACAAAGAGTGTAGAAAAACTTTGATCTTCAGTTTCATACTCTGTTCATTGTACTGCCTGCTTTCCTTGTTAAGGTCGGATGAGAATGTACTTTGCAAATGAAAAAAATGATCAAAAGAAGGTTTTGTTGCCAATGGTGACATCATCAAGGTACAGAAAACAGTTGTTTCCTCTGACATGTTGCTCTGGAGTAAGATGGGGTGGGTACAGATCATGGAGACTGGGAAAGACTGTTTAGGCGTCTACTGTACATGCTCACTTGCAGCTGCCTGTTTTGAAATTCACATGGTGCTGTATGGTATGATGACACATTTTTCCTCTTAGCACTTATACAAGTTGCAGTTAAATAAATGCATGTATAATTAGAGTTTTTGTTCATAAAAAAACTTTATTTTTGAAATTACTGTAGATTTATAGAAAGTTGAAAAAAAACCTACATGAAAGTCTCAGAGCACCTTTCAGCCAGCTTCCCCCAGTAGTAACGTCTTGACTAACTAGTACAGTATTAAAACCAGGGAAATACACTTATACAATCCAGAGATTATTGCGGTTTCAGTTTTACAAGCAGTCACCTGTGCGTGTACACAGGTTTGTGCAGCTCTGTCATATGCATAGCTTCTAGTACTCCAGTGTAGTCAAGATCCAGACGGTCCCATCGCCGTAAGACTTTATCGTGCTGCTTCTTTAGTGTCACGACTGTCTTGTCCCACCCCAGTGTCTGACTCGGGAAACATCCATCTGTCTGTCGCTATCATTCTGTCATTTCAAGAAAACTATGTGAGCCTAGGAAGGGCAGCTAAGCAACTTAGACAATGTCTGCAAAAATGGGCTCAGGTTACAGCTCAATACAAAGGCCCTAGGTTCCATCCTTAGTGTTGAAAAAAAAAAGCTGTATAAATAGAATCAAACAGTATGTAACTTTTTACATATTTTTTCCTTTTGTCACTCAATTCCTTTGAGATCCATCCAAGTTGTGTGTACTAGTCATCGATCATTTGTTCCTTTTTTCATTGCTGAGTGGTATTCCATAGAATGGGTACCCTGTGCTTGTTGAACCACTCAATGAAAGAGTTAAGTTGTGTTTGATTTGGGGCTATGTTGAATAGAGCTGCCATGAACCTTCCTATGAAAGTTTTTGAGTGAACCAAGATTTTATTTCTGTAGATTAAATTTGTTATATAGTGTGTGTTTACTCAATTGACAGGACTTTTTGTTTGTTTGTTTTTTGAGACAAGGTCTTGCTATGTAGTCCAGGCTGCCCTTGAACTCATGGCAATCCTACCTCAGCCTGCTGAGTGCCAGAATTTTACACATGTCAGCATGCCCAGCTGACAGGACCTCTTTTTTTTTATTGGTACATTTAATTTTTATTTTATTGGTACAGTATAATTACATTCATCATTGGAAATTTGCACCTTTACATAATCTCTCTTGGTTCTTATTTTTCCCCTTCCCCTGCCCTCCCTTCAACCCCTCCATCCCTCCCTATCTACAAAGACTTTGTTTCCATTTTTTCATTTTCTCATATTCCATTCCCTTTTTTCCTTTCCCCTACCCCTCCCACTTCCCCTTCCCCTTTGCCCCTTCTCTTCCTATTTTACATTATCTATTATACCTTTTAGTCCTTATTTACACTTTCAGTTTCTCACACTAGAGAAACTTTGGTATTTACACGTGTGTCCTATTTATTTCACTTAAGAGTATGGCCTCAATGTGCATCCATTTAGCTATAAATGCTTCTCATTTTGGGTGGCTGAGTAGTACTCCATTTTACCCAAAAAACCACATTTTCAGTCTCCAGTTGATGGGCATTTGGGCTGCTTCCAGGTTGTAGCTATTACAAACTGTGCTGCTGTGAACATGGGTGCACATATATCACTGCATTATGTTTATTTTAATTCTTTGGGGAAGATACCTAGCAAGGGAATAGCTGGGTCAAATGGGACTTCCAGTCCTAGTTCTTTGAGGTATCTCCACACTGATTTCCACAGTGGTTGCACCAGTCTACACTCCCACCAGCAGTGGAGCAGGGTTCCTCTTTCCCCACAGCCCCAGCTAGCATTTGTTATTGGTAGATTTCATGATAGCAGCCATTCTTTCTGGAGTGAAGTGGAATCTCAGCGTTGTTTTCATTTGCATCTCTCGAATGACCAGTGATGTTGAACATTTTTTCATGTATTTATTTGCTGTTTCTACTTCTTTGTGTGAGAAATGTCTGTTCATTTCAGATGCCCATTTTTGGATTGGGTCTTTAAATTTGGGAGGTCTGATTTTTTTAAGTTCTTTATGGATTCTAGATAGTAGACCTTTGTCTGAGGAAGAGCAGGTGAAGATTTTTTCCCACATTGTGGGTTGTCTCTTCACACTGCTGGTGGTTTCTCTTGCTGTGCAGAAGCTTTTTAATAAGAAGACATCCCACTTGTTGATTGTTTTTGCTAGTTCACAGGCAACTTGTCTTCAAGAGTTCTACCTAAACTCTCTTCCAGCCAATTCAGCATTTCTATTTTAATATTTAGATCTTTAATCCATTTCGATTTTAGTTTAGTGCATGGCAAGAGATGACAGGACTTCAGTTTGTTGATATGGTGAATTATATTGATTGGTTTCTATTGCTGAAAATACCTAGAATACATTTCACTTAATTGTGGCATATGATTCTTTTTATACATTGCTGGATTCTGTTTAGAAGTATTTTGCTAAGGTATAGATAGCTATGAGAAGTGTATAGTTTTTTTCACTGTCTGTCTGATTTTGGTATCAACAGTATTCTACAGGGTCGTTAGTGATAATCCCTACTTCATTTTTGATATTAGTAATTTGTGTCTGCTCTCATCTTTTTGGGGGGGCATGGTAGTCAGGTTTATTGATACAAAGAGCCAGGTTTTTGTTTCATTGATTTTTCTCTATTTTTCTATTTTCAGTTTCACTGGCTTTTACTCTTATTTTCTTTCTTCTGCTTGCTTTATTTCGCGCTTTTTTTTTTTCTAATTCTGTGTTATCAGTCAACCTTTCCTCATTTCTAACATAAGCAGCTAGTGGTGTAATTTCCTTCTTCACATTGCATTAGTTGCACCCCATACATTTTGGTATCTTTTATTTTCATTTTCATTCACATAAGTTCCATGCACTTCTCAAATTTACTTCGAAACTTCCTTTTTGGCCCAGAAAATGTGTAGGAATGTGTTCTTTGGTTTCCAAGAATTTGGAAATTATTTTTCTGTTACTGGTTTCTTGTTTCGTTCCACAATTATCAGAACACATTGAGTTGTACGCTTTTAATTCTTAATTCATTTGTTTTTTGATTGAGGGTGTGATGTAGGTTAACAAGTATTCCATGGAAGCTTAAAATGCATCTGTGTTCTGCTTTAGTTGGACACAGTGTTCTTTACATGTCAATTATACCCTGCTAGCTGACAATA